ACGCCTTGGGTTGTAATCCACAAGGTCGGCAGTTCAAAACCACCAGCTACTCTACTGGAGAAAGATGGGGCTTTCCACTCCAGTAATGAGTTTACAGTCTCAGAAACTCACAGGAGTAGTTCTACCCTGTCATAGAGGGTCGCGATGAGTCAGCATTGACTCAAGGACAGTGAGTTTGGTCTGGTTTGGGTCTGACACTAAAGATTGACCCTTTCCACAAAGCTAGCCTGTGGAGAGGAAAAGTCACTGGTAAGAAGAAGGCTCTAATGTCTGGACTTGAGGGAACCTAGGGCTTTGGATGAGCACTGCCCTGCTCCAACCTCCCATCTCCCTTCCGCTTGGCAGCCAAGTCAAAGTAGACACGGGAGACCCAAAGGAGATCTCCCCAGAGACAGAGCCTTCTGCTCCCCCACCAATTCCACTGCTTGTTGGGACACCACGGGCCCTTCACTCCTCCGGGAATTTCAGTGTTTTCCTCAACCTAGATTGTACCTTCTTTGGGTAGATGGAAACATAGGTACCTGCCAGTCAGTCAACTCAATGCAGGGCAACCTTACACACAGCAGAAGGGAACACTGCCTGGGTCTCCATCGTCCTTCCGATCGCCAGCATGCTTGAGTTCATCACTGTGCTACTGGGTCCAGACATCTCGGCCAGGTCGACCTCCCCCTCCGCGGCCCTCTACCCCGTTCCTTTGTCTCCACTAACTCATTCGTGCTTTGGGGACTTGATCATTATCATGAATCTCATAATTCATTCCTCCAACACAAAATCTTAACAACACTATTACAGGACCAACGAGTGTTTAAAAATCTACGGTATTCGTTCTCCTGTTTAAACGGGTTCTGGCTAACTTGGAAAGATCCAACAATCCATTGCACAAATAAAAACCTAGAATTAAAAATCACTTCCCTTTGGCAAAACCCCTCATTATTACAAGGCCCACATTCTTTGACACATCTAGTCGCCTTCTAGGATTTGGCTTCTTGATACATGATAAAGAATATGTGAGAAACGATACAAGATTACTCCTAGCAGTCTCCTTTATAACAGAGTATAAGGGATGCTACAAAGAAAGATATAGAGAATGAACAGTTAGCTATTATTTGTTAAAAATCATTTGAAAGAGTGCATATATACATCTCAATCCTGACTTGTTTCCACACTCTGTCAGCATAGAACTGGGCTCTGTAAGATCTTCAATAGCTGTGCTTTTGGAAGTAGATCGCCATCAGAATAGCAATCAATATAAGTTATCACATTACCATTATAAAGCGGAAACATCAAAGAATATCTCAGTAAATGGAAGAAATGTCATTTCATGAAACTCAGTGTCTGTGCATTATAAAAACACTGTTAGCAATACTGCAGCAGAGTCAGTCAAAAAAAAAAAAAAAAAGAGCCTCGGTGAGATGGACTGATACAGTGACTGCAACCGAGGGCTCAGACAACAGCTGTGTGAATGGCACAGTTCTGGAAAGTGTTTTGTTCTGTTGTGCATAGGGTCACAATAGGTAAGACTGACTTACCTTTAACAACAACATTTCTTTTTATAACAATTCACACATCAATTGTATCAAGCACGTTTGTACATATATTACTATCATCATTTTCAAAACATTTTCTTTCTACTTGAGCCCTTGGTATCTGCTCCTCTTTTTCCCTCCCTCCCCAATCTCTCACCTTCATGAACCCTTGATAAATTATAAATTAATATTATTTCATATCTTACACCATCCAGTGTTTTCCTTCACCCACATTTTTGTTGTTCATCCCCCTGGGAGCATGGGGATTTATGTCGATCCTTGCAATAGGTTCCCTGTTTCTCCACCTTCACCCCCCACCTTCCCTCTACCCTCATGGGATTTCTACTCCCATTACTGTTCCTGAAGGGTTTGCCTGTCCTGGATTCCATGTGTCAAGAGCTCTTATCTGTACCAGTGTACATGCCCTAGTCTAACTGGATTTGTAAGGTAGAACTGGGGTCATAATAGTGGAGGGGAGGATGCATTAAAGAACTAGAGGAAAGTTGTGTGTTTTGTCGGTGCTATTTTGCACCCTGGCTGACTCATCCCTCCCTTGTGACCCTTCTGTGAGGAGATGTCCAATTGTCTACAGATGGGCTTTGGGTCTCCACTCCAACCCCCCTCATTTGCATCAATATGATTGTTTGTTTTGGGTCTTCTGATGCCTGATACCTCATC